GACCGTTACCACAAGGCCACGTGGCACTGCCGAGGCATCGATCAGCAGCGCTTACGAGCCAAAACTGATTTTCGCAAACTTTGACTGCCCAAATATCGCCTGGTAGGTCCCCATAGCACTTTTAATGTGTATATTCGTAATCAGCATTCGAGCCTCTATTGATGTACCTATGTCTCCATTCAAAGTTCCATGGGAAGTTGGAACCATTCTCTTGTGAGAGGCAGCATTTTGGCGGGTTGTTGATTACTAGTGAGCGCGGTAGAACCCCAGTGCCGACCATGGAGATGTTCATTTCAACAGCTGGCCGAGTTCGCTGGTTGCGTCCACTGGCGATTGTTGCGGCCGCACGACGGGCGAAATACAGAATACAGAAGAAGTTGCTCGGAAGTCGCAGCAACACCCCTCCCCCCTCCTACACCCGAAGTATGATTGCTAGAATATGAACTGGGAATCGTGAAAGCAAAGAACCTTCTTTTTCGAAGGTCCCTGCACGAGCTGTAGGGTTACGCGCTGTAGTAACTGTAGTGACTACGGTAACCCTCACACCACTGGCAAGGCAGCGAGGTTCTAGTTTTTGCATTCGTTGTTTTGCATGATGGGTTCCGCCATTGTTTGATAGAATCGGTAGAGCGTTCCCATGATCTTTACCTCGATCAAAACCTCCCTTTGCTAGGTGTTTTCCCGGTGAGAAGGCGATTTTTGCTTACTTATGAATGTTTGTTATTGTTGTTCCATAAATTCATTACTGGTTTTATAGACCAGACGGCTGGTGTGCAGTGCAAACAAGACTGCCGACGACGAAATTTGCTTTGGTGGGTTCAGACGACGAGTCTTGGGACAGCAGTAATGAGACAAATCGCACCCGATTACCCTCAAACTAGGACAGAATGCTTCCAAGCAATCTGTCAGTTGTTCATATGTACATATAGATAGTGTCTTTTGGCACTTTGTAGAGATGCCGTGCCTGGGCGACTCATATACTCGTTCCATCGGCTGGCTGTCCTAGACCACGCCGTTTAATGAGCGTAGCCGGTCCTTTGATCTGGTTTCATTTCATTCACCACTATCTGCACGATTCGTTATAGCACGTATAACGAAGGATTACCTTCGGATCATTACTGATTAGCGCTCAATGTAAACATCCTTTTAACCAAAACTTTTCAGATGAATAATCTCTGTACACATTGCACAAGGTTTTGTACATATACGCTACTTCAGGTTTCAGCTCAGTCAATACTTTCTTTCTGCTCATTATTTGCTCCTGATTACTCCTTAATAGTTTATCTGTACAATTACAGCCTCAAATCTATTGCCTATTTCTTCTATCTTGGGGTATTTCGATTCGCCTTAAATAGAACACATTATCTTGTCGTTATCACTGTTTGTTTATGTTCTTGCCTTCTGAATTGTTCCAGAAAAGTGCTTGTTAGAGATTTGTTTATAAATACATCACATTTCAACGAAATACTGTTACTCCATCAATTTTCCCACTGAAGGAAGGAAAGATAAAACTAGTGGCAACGGCCTCTTACCACGCGCACGGTCCGGGGGTCAGCTCGGCTCCCGCCCAGGTTAACCAAGCCTTCCATGCTCTGTGGATTGGGGTATATAACAAGAGAGTCGTAATTTGCCGCGCTGCCAGGCGTTGCGAGCGACACCGCTGCGAGGGAGGAGTCCTCCTGCCTAGCCTTTGAATCTTAGGACAACGGGGAATTGTGCTGTTGATGTTCCGCATCGTCAGGCGTACAACAGTAGACGGGTAGGAATTGATTAAAACGTGAGGTATGTCCAGATACACCCGAAAAAAAATGGAAATATTCACACGAGTTCCGCCGTTCGGGTCGAGAAATCGATGCACAGTCTGAATTCCCCGCGCTCGTCGCCGCGTGAGGCTCACACTGAAATTTTCCCGCGCTCATCGCCAGGCTGCGTCGTGCGCGGCTAATTAGGCAGGGTTCAGACTTCGTGAAGGCAGCGCCACGGTCGTTCAATCGACGCGATCGATGTAGTCGAAAGCATGCGCATCGATCGCGTCGAACGCGCGACCTGAAGCGCTGCCGTCGCGAAGTCTGAACGTAACAAAACATCGGTCAACCGACGCTCCCTCGCTGCGAGGGTCCACAGGTGTTTTCCCATCGCTTTTCCTGGTCGAGGGGAAGGATAACAGTGAAGAAGAGTGGAAGGGGGAAGGAAGGAAAAACGAAGCAGGAGGAGGTCTCGCGGTTGACAGATATCCTATGGCGGCTAACTACGACTCTCTTGGCCGTCTCCTTGGGATGGTGAGTTGATTCCAACTTTGTTGTGCATCGGCTGGCGCTACAAGTGGTTGTATAAGCCATATCGCATCCACTACGATTCTGAATGGAAGTAGAAGCCGTGTCGCACCCCACAAAAGGATTGAGAACGGCGAAAGCTTTATTTTTTGGCCTTGTATTCAGCCAATTTTGCGAAAACTGTGTTCTCTGGAGAAAGATGCAGACTGTAGGCGTCAGGACATCTACTCGTTTTATCACACGTCACGTCTACATATTTGGAGGTGTTGGACAATTGTCGTGTCGTCTGTGTCTCCTGCAAGCACATTTTCGGTTCTTCCTTCTTCTCATCCTCCGGGCAGGACACGCCATCGCGTTGTGATCATTTCCTGAAAAATACGACCCCCCTCCCCGTTCTCAAGTATACCCAATGTGAAAGAGGAAAATTTCTCAGATTTTCCCCCCAGTTTTTCCCCGGATAATTTCTGGTTTCTCCCCAAAATTTTGCTGTCGAGCGGGGGAGGAGGTCGTCAGGATTTAACTATCATTTTCAACTATCGGAAATAGTAGTTGTATAGATCTTTGGCAGTCCCTCTCCCAACAACGACCAAATACGACCCCCCCTCCCTCGCGGTCAAATACGACCCCCCCCCCCCCCCCCCTTGTGATCATCACAGCGATGGCGCGTCCTCCCTCGAAACTCCGGCAAATAAGGTGGCGAAAAAGTAGCTCTGGATCCTCGCGACAATTGAAATTTACAGATTTACAGGTGTCTTATAACCCCGAATAAGCAGGGATGGCCAATAAAAAAGAGGCTTTACTTATAATGGATCCCTTGATTTTTTTTCCTCACGGAATGTGAGTGAATGAATTGTTGGGCAATTACTGCAGACACTGACGTCAGCCCCTGTACTCGTGAAATCCATAAAACCGAGGTGCTTGAGAGATGCTAGACGATTAAGTTCTGTGGGGGTGAGCCATGAAAAATAAATCATGATTCATTGCGGCGTTGCGCGAAAAACTTTGCAGTCAATCTCGCCCGAGATTATAGCGATACTCTTTACGAGCCCAAATAGTAGGGACTCAACGGAATTTATAGAGCTGCTTCATTCTGACGGGATTTCTTTAAGCAGTCTTGGGCTAGATGGCGATGATGGATGGCCTTAGCTTGTCGTGATCGTAGGGTGAAGTCCTAGCTCATGCTTACAGAAAAAAACGCCTTGAGAACGTTACACCATGAGTCTTTCATGTAGTTTGCCACTCCGTACCAAGTAAACTTGGATGATACGCTCCGCGGATGGTGTCTTTTTTATTGACCACCCTTGCGGTGCAGAATAACAGAAAACACGTAGAGCACGTCTATCCTACCAAAAGTAAAAGAAACGTAATTAATGAATTAATTGTAAGAGCAGCGCCTGGAAACAGTGACGGATTGCCTCGGGAAATGTGATAAGGGAATGAAGCTGGTCATGTGGCATTTACCCGAGTGAAGGGATTGATGCCTGAACTGAAGGATCATGGGACATGTTTCCTGAAGCAGAGGAGGATCGGGGATTCTACACAATGAGTGGATGAAATGGTCATCCTCATGGTCAGTACCTCCTGTTGAGGGAGGGAATATGCTTCAGATGAGACGGTATGGCAACAACGTCCCCTAAACTGGAATGTTCGCGTGAATGGTTTCTTTTATTCCTTCTAGAAGGCTTTCTCAAACGTGAAAAGTTCAAGATAGGCCGAAAACTATTTGCAAGGAGGCTAGCAACTGGTTGTGAATTCACGGATGCTTCACTATCGGTAAGCCGTGAATGCCGCATTGCCAGGGAACCAGTAATGATCTAGCAGGGGAACTAGGAGACTAGACCAGTATATATGCAAGTAATTACAGGTTGGCTGAACTGGAGAAGACCAATAAGCTTTGTTTACTGAAATTTCAGAAGGACGATGACGAAGAGTCTAGAAAACCGGACGTCCTACTGCGAAAGGTCACCCTGCTTGGGCATGGCAATGAGGAGGAGCGCACTCGACAGGCGATCGTGACAACATCCTGCTAGACTGCGACTGCACCGAAAGAGCACTCGTGAGGGGAGAGGTGTTTATATTCCGGAAGGTTCAGTGATAGTGCCTCGTAAGGGCGAAAGCGCCCAAGGAAAAAACTATTTAGACGCCCCCGGGCGTTATGA